GTGGTGTGAAATACACGGCGTTTTGAAAACTGTGTTTTGAGACCCAAGACCTGCACGACCTTCACTGTAGCAGGCATCTAAAGAGAAATTGGGGAAAAGAAAAAGGGTATAATCTGGGGGAGGGTACAGGATTTTGTACATGAAGGAATTCTACTACTCCAAGACACTGAATAGTATATACATACACCAACTGCATCAAATTATTGTATGCAATCTCTAGAACTAGTTGTACACCAATAATCCTTTGTTCATACTTATTTTTTAGTATTAGAATGTCCAATGATAAAATAACATCATTACAAGTCTTGTATTCTCATTTTCACATTATACATTTTCTTATAGGCACATTATGTATATACAGTGGCTATTTCTATAACCAGCTCGATGTTCCAAAACAGCCCTTCTGAATTAAGAGAGATTCTGGAAAGATCTGTGTGTTGCTGAATTTGACAAAGTATTTCTTCAGCGCAGCTGCAGATGTTGTCTCCAGTGCTAAGTCCATTAATTCTCCACAGCTCATCCAAGAAGTCAAGATGACAGCAATATGAATCCGGCTTTGCTGATGTACTTCAAAAAAAAAATATAGTAGCAATTCATGTCCATAGGGTCATTCTAAGGTCATTTTGGAAAGAAGTGTACGCTGGGACTACAGCAGCAGCTTTACTGTCTTTTTAGGACAGGTTGGGGAAAACATTAACAAGAAGGAAGGATTTTCCAGTTCAAAAAAATGAATGTTACTACATGAGAAATGAAGAGGTGAAAATGCAATGCAATTAATCACAAGATACTATTTAAACCGATCTTTTCAATATACAGAGTACTTATTCCACTTGACATTTTGTCAAGCTAAATTACATTCTGCCAATAACGATGTAGAGAAAATAGCTTTTCTGGTACCTCTCAAACAAGTTAGTTTTGTTTTCACACATTCATGTAATTTCACAGAATTTTTTAACTGCCACCAATAGTGAGCTGAAGTCCACTAATACACTGACACATTGGAGACGATCATGTGAAATTAGGTATAAAATATTATTTCTGGTATCTGTCCATCTTCTATTGATGTACCATTGTTGTTACCTGGTGAACTATAAAAGACAAAGCATGTTTTGCTAGCAGTAGGAGATTCGTGGATCACTTTCTTTAAACCTTTTGTTCCATAGTGGGAATCAGGGCCCTGGAAAACATCAAAGAGATTAGCAACAGAATGGAAGTGGGCAGCAAGACCTATAAAATGCTGAAGTTCAAACACTACTGATGTAAGTTATGTTAATAATATAAAATTTCTGTACCCACATCATATCAATTATATACAAAAATCACAGACAACAGAAACAAGTGCCCTATGTCTAAATAACAAAAAAAAAGTTTCTCTGACAGCAGACTTAAACCACTTGATGTTAGCCAGTTAGTAACAAAGAAATATTTTCTAGTATTTATTCTTGTCACATAGGTTGTCTATATTCTCACTTAGTTCCCTGCCTCAGCTTCTTTTAACGTGCAACATTTTTTTCAAACCCACTCAACTTTGATTTCTGTATAGGGCACCTCATTTAAAAGAATATTAAAAGATTTTTGAGAAAACATTGAATAAAGAAAGTTGTCCGTAACATTAAGGGGAGACTTTCCTAGAACAAATAAATCTTTCCTGTATTTCAGCACTAGTATATAAAAAGTGATTAAAAAAAAGCTTTCAGTTTTCTTGACTCGAGCTAGTGGTTAGAATATCCTTGAGAAAAGAAATCAAACTTAAATTTTGATACAGGTCTGCCAGACTAAATATCCTAGATAGTGCTTTTGCCCACACAGAACCAGTGACTTCATTCTTACATCAAGCCAGAAAGTGGGAAGGCACAAAGGACCCAGTTATGAATTCTGTGCTGTGGCACAGAAGAGAGGTAGTAGTCTTACAAGTTACTGTGGAGTTTAACTACATCCTTCTTTAGCACTAAACTTAAAATAAATTCAAGATCTAGAAGACACTTTTCCATCAGAAGACAGATAAAAGAACAACTCTTGCATCAAAATAACATTTTCTTCTATATTGTTAGGCATTCTTACTTTCAACGTTGCACAAGCTGTGTAGCAAACTGTTGGCAAAATCTCTATAGGTTCTTTGAACATAACTCTGAATGTACTGGCTGTTCCATCACAACTAAATCCAGTATCGTTTTGTCCTAGTGTTTGATTCTTCTCATAATCAATTATCTGTACAAAAACATGAAAATAGTACTTTTAGGGTTACAAGCTTGAGAAATATTCTTATTGTATGCATATTGGAAGATTACAAGCAAACACTTGCCTACTCCACCCAGTTTAATTGCAAGGATACTGCAATTTCAGAACTGGAAAGTAGGTGTAATTTCCCGATACCATTAGGGTTGACCCAGCAGCATGCCAAACGATGGCTTGCGAGTTTTACACATGCTGTCCAATCTGTGGGCTAGATTAAACACTGCTCCAACCAGGTTATAGTCTTTGCTTGGGAGATGAAGAATAGCTCTTAGACCTTCAGCTTCTGACCTTCATATATTACATATAATCCTGTACTTAAGATTTGCTGATCTTCGTACACCTACAGAGCCCACACAAGGAAAGCACATTTGCTGGCTGTGGCTAATTTTGAAAACAAGTTTTTACAGATAATGTAAGCAGTCAATGACACATTCTTAAAAGAAAACAAGAACTTGCACTGCTATGTTTTATACAATTTATTTCTATTCTAGATTCAGCATAAAAATTACACTCAGACTACATGTTATTTCTTTTGCCTTCAATTTTAGTGATGAATAGGAATCACTAGCTAAGATGCAGTAATAGCAGATACCTCACTTCTCATTTTGGATAGGAAACCTGATCCACGCTGCTGAAAATCTCATGCAGAAGTTTGGTATCAGGGCTTTAGAGTAACATGAACACTTCTCATGATTACTGCAGTAACAAGAATCCTATCAATTTCAGTATTTTATTAGTAAATTGCCATATAATTTTTAATATCGCACAAATGAGATGAAGCCCTATTCTAGGCAAAATGTGCTCTAATTTTTTTCCCCAGCCACAATCAATAGAAATATTAACAATTGTAATACTGAAGTCCCAAGCCTCTTTCACATAAAAGATGTATTTGCAATATATATTATCACTATTTTAAAACAAGTATTAAATGTTTAACTCTCTGAAGCTCTGCTAGTACTGACGCAGGTCCAAGAAGAAAGGTAGAGACACAGGACTTAAATACCTATCTGAAAAGATTGTGACAAGAAAGTTTCAGATTCATCAGGAATTGGGGATACTTCCAGAATAAAGAGAACATGTGTAAGACGGATGGCCTTCATCTGAACCATAAAGGTACATTAGCCTTTCAGTTTGGATCAGGAGCATGTTTTTCAAGTGAATCTCTTGATCATTCCCACAATATGCTTTGGTTTGCCTTGCAAGAACTAAGTTCTTTTCAGATGAAATAAATCCAGCAAACATGCTGAGCGAGCACATCAAATGCTGTCATCTGCTGACAGGATTTAGAACAGCGGATTGAACAACAGTTAATGCAAAGTAAAAATCCCCAAATATGTATAGTATAGCTGCTAGGTCCTTGGTACTAACTTTTTTGTTCTAAAGATCCAATCTAGTGCACTATGCTACCCATTTACATAGATGTATAGTTTGAGAAAACCTAACTGATGGCACTTCAAATCAAGGAATTTGCAAGTGAGCTTTTAAACTGAGGAATGTGGAAAGCAAATTCCTTCAAAACCTCATTCCAGATACATTGTTTGGAATATCGTAAGAAGAAAGGCACAACTTTTTTTTTTTTTTTTTTCCTTAAGAGACAGACGCAAAAATCCTATCCTTAAGTATAGGATGGTAAAAGAGTAGTAATCATTGAATAGGAAATAGGAGACAAATAAACTGTTTTTTAAATAGGATGCCCACAAATTGACCAAAACAGCAGTTCCAGCAGATGCTAGACATCTACAAAATAAGATAGGGACGATGGAATTTCTGTCCCTCAATAAAGTCACAGATTCTTTCTTTCGCAAAATTTCCCATATATCTAATAAATCAATGTGATGAGATAGTACCAGGTTACGAAATACACAGCACAGAGTAAAACTGTGCCAGTCATGGAATGCTAGTATCTTGTTAGAAAGCTTAGAATCAAATCAAAACTAATCTCAATAAGAAAGAGAATACAAATGGACTTAAATTCCACACTTAAAAAAGGAAAAACTATAGTGCTGGATCAATATTACTAGAAGACAATCCTGACTACAACATGCCAAGAGAGATCAAACAGGCTACAAAAGCAGGAAATAAAATTTTAATGGAGTCTTCAGTTACCCACTCAGACCGGGCAAGTGTCATACCAGGACATGAAGCAGGGGTGACATTTTTAGATGCTATCACTGACCATTTCATGAGCTTGCTAACCAATTGCTCAGTAGGAAGAAACGCAATCCTTGATTTGGTACTGAGTGATGAGCAAGGTCAGATTCAAAATTTCATAATGGAAACACTATGTAACAGTGTCCATAATATACTTAGAGTCAACTCCTGAAGGACATCACATGCCCAAGTACAGTATCGGTACCTATCACCTATTAGGAAAGGCTTGAGGAAAGGGGAAAAAAACTGGCATGGCTGATCAGCAAAAGGCTATTACTGGAAATAAACAAACAAAAGAGGGCATCCTACAGAAATATGAAGTTGCATCAAGATTAAAATACAAAGGTTCAAACTGACAGATTAAAATGTAAAAAATACAATTAAGTAGGCCAAAAGAAGGTTTAGGAACAGCTATCTGAAAGCATCAAAACCAATGTTAAATCATTCTTTCAACACAGCAGTAGAAAAAAGCCCTATAGACTCTCTGGTGGACTAAACAGCATGAAGATACAAAACGAGCAGCAGAACGATAAGGTCTTCACGTAGCAGCCTGGAGAACAGCAATACAAATAAATCATTTACCAGCAGAAGGAACTGGGGAGATTCCCATGCCAGGACAGTGTTTTCAGCAAACCTAAAATTGAAGTAACTTTACAGAAGTAGTTATGGTAACAGTAACATACAACCTTCTGCCTAAGACTGAACATGTAGCAGCAAGTAAGATGTCAATCTTCCCAAAAATCCTCTGGGCAAGGACAAGCCTCAAAAGCCCCAATACATGAACCAGGTGAGCTAAGAGTGTAATAAATACCCCACTGAGTCAGACAAATAGTCCAATATGCTCCAACAATGGCAAAAGAAGATGTTGCTGAGGGTTAGCACACAAGTCTGGGCTGGGCTGTCCTCTCCTCCAGCATCCACAACTGTTCTACTAGGGGACATCTACTAGTGCACATCCCCTTCTATTCCTTCTGGAATCTTCTAATGGACCTGCTATTGATAAATGAACATGTTCAAATACCACCAAATTCAAAACAGGATATCTGCTTCTTATGGCAGTATGCTTACTATCCTCTGCGTTGAAAAAATACTCTTATCCGTTTTGATAGTTCTTCTATCAGTACCTGCTAGTACCAGTAAGAGTTTCCTAGTTCTAATACTCTGGGGTTTGGTGAATAGCAAACAGTTCTGCATTTACCTTATCCATTGCCCTCATGATTTTAGAAGCATTGCTGACACCTCCCCATAGCGTTCTCCCCTACAAACTGAAGGGTCCTAGCCTTTTTGGTCTCTCTTCGTAAGGCAGCTGCCCTATCCCCTCAATCATTTTAATTACCCTTTTCTCTACCTTCTAATTCTACTGCGTGAGATTGGGAACTCCACACAATACTCAAGATGTGGGCATACCTGGCTTTCATATAGTAACACAATGTCACCTTTTATCTTTTCAGTATTTTCCTAATGACACAGTGGGCTTTTTTAGCAGTCATTACATGTTGCGTCACTGATTTCAGAGAGCTGTTGATGACAAATCCAAGATCTCTTTCCTGAATTACTAGAAACTTTATTAAAGGACAGACTTTGTGCACAACTGAACAGATTACAAACCTATGAAACTCCTCTGCAGAAAGCTTACAGGAATTCAAGGTTCGATCAGACAAGCATCCTGAAGAAAGATTCACCAGGAGCTAGTAAAAGAGAGAAACCAAATTGGTCTCGGGAAATGCCTATACTGAAAACGACTGAAGGACAGCAGAATACAGCAGAAAGAGAGAAGAGTGTCACATTGTTCTTACTTTTCCCTAGTCATCCGCTTATGACCACTGTTGGGGGCAAAACACAGGTTAGATTCCTGGCCTATCAATTGCTCCTACCCAAATATACATCAAACCTTTTGTGAGTACTACAAGTGTAGTTTCTGCATAAGCCTATTTAAACAGAACATACTGTACCTGTATATTAACTTGATAGTCTGTGGGTCCATGAATAGATCCATATAATCCAAATCCCACTATGGAAATTCTTCTATTAACTGTGAACCTAATAAGACACAAGCCAAGAAAGGAATTTAAACAACTGTGATGGGAGTGTTACCTTATTCCCAGTCAAGTAGGAAAAAGACACTCATTGAAGAGCAGGGAAGTAAACTGAAAATTACATTAATTTTTTTTTCCAATAACATTTTCTATTTAGATTTCAATAGTAAGAAAAATGCTTTGTAAGGTATCAGCTTTATAGGTTAAAGCTTTGCTAATCTCCCAAGATATTCATTATCACCAAACAAGAAATAACCAGATTCTTCTAAATATCTCCAAAATAAAAACAGATCAAGACTTGGTATTTTAAGAGGAATATGCAGCTAACACCCAAGCAGTCTAGAACGCACCAATTCCTCCTGAACTTTTTTCTTTGTTACTTGGTATTTTATGTGCGCAACAGCCTAAGTTATTTTAAAAAAAAGGAAAACATCAAACGTGCCCAAACAGAACCAGCATGTTTGTTACTGTATCTTATGCCAAAAAGTTAAGATTGAGTAATATGTTCCCTTTCTTCCCACACTTCTCTGTCTCTTCTCCAGTTTCAAAAGCCATACCTAATCCGATCACTTGTTCCACTGTAGCCCCAGCGACTCTCTACTTGCTGGAACCTGTTAATGCTGCATTCTTTTCCTCTAAGGCAACATCTTGGTCGGTCAATATAATCTACTTTAGGTTTAGGATTGACAGTAAAATGAAGAAACAGATTTACTACTTCCCGATCTGACAAGATTCCAGACTGAGCAGGGCCTGTGAAAAGAAAAAACTTCTAAGATTATTTGAAGAATTACTCCAACTGTTGTATTTAAACCACACATATTTGCAAACTGAATATGACAACAATATTTTCCAATGGCCAGAGCATATTCTGCAGAACGTTTTGCTTTCATTTGTGCATCACAACTTTTATTAGTAACATATTAATAACAGCATGTTAACCATCTAAACACTCACAGGTGAAGAGTGCAGAGACATGGTCTAACAGTAACACAAAGAACCCCAAAACTCACCAGCTGCAAACTCTTCAATAGTCATTAATGGAAAACGGATTAAGGAAAGAGCTCTTCCAAGGACTTTTTGTTTGTTTCCATATGTCACGGGCAGTTGTTGTCTTTGACATTCTGCTTCTGCCCAGCGAACAACAGCTCCAAAGAGTCTACTTTCTCGAATACTAAGGGTATCTCTTTCTAGAACTGCACATAATGTGTCTAAAGAAAAAAAAAAGTTAACAGATTTAGATCAGTTTACATCCAAATCAGTAACAGTGCTATACATTAAGTAAGCTTAAAATGTTAAGTAAGCACTAAGAACATTCATAATAAGACATCAAAGATAAGACAACTTACCTTATGTATAAATAAATATCCCAATGGTGCACAGACTCCAAACTAAAAAAAATCATTTTCCTGTTATGAAGACAGCGTATGAACATTCTTCTTGATTCCTAAGAGTGTGTCTATATATAATCTATGTAGGGACAACCAATGTCCTAAAGAATTTCCGTGGCTAGGGCAAGATCAAAACTGGAAGTGACCAAGCGGTGTATGCACACTACTAAAAAACCAAGTTATTCATGATGACATTGTCATATTCTCATCCGAGTAGCCACCTGCCAATCTGGATCAACTACAGACACAAGCAGCAGTGGCACACATAAAACCAGTTTAAAGATACATGAAAGTGATCTTAAACACTGATGTATTTGCCACCCACAAAGCTTGAAAGCAGAACACAGGATGTCAGGCAAGGTACTCTTAGGCGTTTTAGAAAAGCAAGTTTTCCTGTATTTCTTACTCATTCTGGCATTTCATGAATAACAGGTATGCAAAAATGATCATAGAACACAAGCCTGAAAAAAAATATGGTTTCATATTCTGAATCTTCTGTCTTCTTTGGGAATTTTTATATGCCCTGAATTTAAGCAAGGCATGTTTGCGGTCATAGAAAATATCATATTGGAAAGTCAAAACAGATTGGGACTTATCATGAGTAGAGATGAACACTCACAGTCAGGGTACAAATCCCACCGAACACAAGTTAACAATGACTTGTGTTTAATTTCTTAATGACTTGTGACAATTTCTTTAAGCAGCTGGAATACCTTCTTTCAAGTCTGAGTTTTTCATACAGTCTAGCTGAATTGGAGTAAAATCTTAGACACATATAGTAGCAAGGAAATTAAGTAAGCAAATTCACAACTGCTAGCTTTTCATAAAAGATGAAACACTCAAACTCATTGATGTAATGCAGGTGCTGTGGTCCAAATTCCGAGATCCGCAGCTGGCCGTTGCATTGGCACCCATGCAAAGGTGGGTGCAGATGAGGGGGAAGCGAACTACCCCAGGTTACCATGACAAGGAGGTAAGATGCGCTCAGGACTCTGCATACTCAGATGGGAGAGGCGAACAATTCTAGGTTACTGTAACAAAGTCTTCTCACACCCTACAATTCCTGACAGAAGTTTAATGCTTAGGACACAGGAAGTAACTTACCTATATCAATATCAGTAAAGCCTTCTGCACTTATTGCATCCATAGTACTTTTGTCTATTGTGTCAAGACAAAGACTAGCAAGCTGAGGTTCATCAAACAAACGAGCCTAAAAAGGTAAGGAAATACATCTTAAGCATAAAGTTGACAAACCGCTAATCTTAAAAAGCGAGTATTTCTACTCTAAAATTTTAATCTAAATTAAAAGAGGTTGATTTGTCTAAGTACTCTGTGTTTACACCTTAAAGAGCACTTAAATTCTCAAAGGAGTACATAATTAAGGAGAATTTACTAAATGCAACTTTTCCTTCATGCTTATGTTTGTAGTTTTGATAATGTAACTAAAAAAAAAACCTCACAGCAATTCTACTATAGTGAACTGAAGCAAAGTCTTGACAAAAAACAATGAAGAGATTCATGCAAATACACTGTAGAATAAACTGGCTCCATTTGAAATGTCCCAGCCCATTGCATATTTTAATTAAAAAGAAAGAAAAAAATAAGGCAAAAAAGAGCCTCTCCTCCACATTAATAAGAAGCCGAGTCTGTAAAAATCCTAACACAGCAAGAAGACATTTTGACAGATAAATCAGACTATGTGATAGCAAATCCACTGTGAAGTGGATTTAGTAATTTCCCTCTAAACGCTGATTTTCCTAGTAAATCAAAACTAAGCTTAAATTTACCTACTTGAGTAAGCAGCATAAAGGCATTATCTGCTCGGAGGTGCTTGGTTAGAAAATCCACACAATGTGCTTCCAGGGCTGGGACGGCATACTTTTTAGCAGTGTATAAAGTAGTCATGACTGTTTCTGGGCCAATTTGAACTTCATCTGAATAAAGAAACCTAGAAATCAATATATGAATACAGATCATAAAAACTTATCTTGAGGGGGGCAGTCAAGCACAACATAACAGTCTCTTTGCATTTAGAAAACAGGTTAAAGATTTGCACTGTGAACATGCAACAGTTGACCATGTAGCATTTTTACAAATTAATAAGCTAGTTAAAGGGCTGAAGAAAGAATATTACATTAACCAAATGGCATACATTTGTTTTAAATATGCATTACTCCCCAAGACTGATCTGGCTGTACTAGTTATACATAGCTACCAAACTGTAAACAACAGCTGAGCTGCAGAATTACTTAACATACGAATGCATGCTCCTTTGATTCACCAGGAAGAGCTGTATTTCTAAATATCAATACATATTACTGAATTTACTGACAGTGCACACTAGCTTCCCCGCCATGAAGAGACTAGCATCAAGGATTTATACTGTGGTAACATCTTATGTCAAAGTTACGACTCTGAAGTGGTCAGAGGAGAGGAAAGGGAGTAATACTCCAGCAGATGACCTTGACTCTTCTATTCCTGCCGTAGCAAAATGCTCTGGCTTGTCTCCACTGTTTGAGGCTAGATGATCAGTTGAGAGTTTAGCGTAAGCTGTGAACCAAGACAGAAGCCTCCACCAAAACTAGGAAAAAACCTGTGTTTCCTGAGCAGCTGTTATTTGAGACCAGACAAGATAAGACTGAAAGGTTCTGTAAGAAAAAGATGACTTTTAAAAATAACTTTTCTTACAGGTGAAATATTGCTAAGATTATCTTCAAAGTCATCAGTTTTTCAGATAATAATCAAGAATAGCCTGTGATTTACAAAAATACACTTGTCCCCAACACGAAGGTCATTAAACGTATTAAACCAGGGCACATTGGCAAATGCATGAATTTCACAATGAAGACCAAGTCTTTTCTTTATATTTCTTAATATTTGTTGTTCAGAACCTCCTGGAAATGAATGGCAAGCAACATGTAGAGAGGGAAGGTGTGTTTAGAAGGGTTTTTAAATGTAACAATAAACAGTTTGTGTTTAACAGAAGAAAACTTGTGAAGGTAATGGACTCAAACTTGTTTGCAACATGGCGAGATCTAAGTAGTAGAAATCTAGAGTTAACATTTCAACTAAAGTTCTTCACTGTTTATATTTGTTATATTCCAAGAAAACTTTAATTCTCAGTAATTGCTAACACACAACTAAATATGGCATTCAACATTAAATTTGCTGCCACTTACCCACAGGTACATATTTACCATTACAATACTCCAATCTATTCAAATGGCCAGCTTTCACATCACTTTGGAAATGTGAATGATGCTCTAGATTATTCTTTAAATGGGATTTACATCAAACAGCTTTTAGAAAGAATGAGTTTAATTAAATGCTAACTTTTTTTGGTAAAAGTTTCATACAGTTCATTTAGAACTGATTTATGAAATCTATGAACTAGTATCTGTTGACAAAAATGACAGGCTGACTTGCCAGTCACAACCACTGACAAATTTACTTTTAAGAAAGTAAGATCTCATAGGTACAGTTTTGTATACCAAATCAACAAGTAGTTCATTAAAGCACTAGAATAGTGCATTTAGATTTTGGTTTTAAGATTTTTAAAAAATCTGTTTATAATGCCCTAACCTTCCTTGTATGATTTTATAGGAGCTTGAAGCTCAGATCACGTCAGAGTTGAATATTAACAGGCTGTAAAAAAAGCAGCATTACCATGCAAACTATGTTATAAATTTTACCCAATCCTAAAAAAAAATTTTTTTAAAAAATATATGTATTTTTAGCAAGTTGGTTTTGGACCATGATTTTGATTTTATTTAAAGTGTGTCCAATCTGAAGCCAATGAAGTGACACACCAGAGGAGCTTATCTGGCTTATGGTTCACTTTCTACTACACCTTCTTAAGAATCAGGGTGCAGTTCCGAACTGCACTTTTCTGACCCTTGCTTTCCCAGGAATTTTGTAGGCTTTTTCCTCATATGATCAAAAACAAATTACATGGCTAAATGACAGGAATTCAAACATGACAACAGTGCATATACATGCGTTTTTTTCATTAACGTGAGATCTATGAGCTACAGGATGCTTTTTCATCCCATGAAGGACATACTTGAGGCTCTATGCTCCAATCCCTCCCCTGCCGTATGGCTGGATATACATTAAGAGGCACTCCCCAACTGAAAATGCGTCAATGACAAACTAATGGGACTTAAGTGATTGAAGTTCTGACAACTAGAATTTGCACAGCACCTCAAGCAGTAACTAAAACATCAACGTGTTATCAACACTATTTTCAGCACAAACCCAAAACATAGGCCCATACAAGCTGCTATGAAGAATTTAACTCTACCCCAGCCAAACCCAGTACATTCTCCACCCCTTTTGCAGACCATTTACATCATGCTCGGGTCCCACACTATCGCAACACATCCTCATCAAACATTTCTTTCCCCGTAAAACGTAAAATGTACAAAAATAGCCATAAAATGTTCATTGAGTTCATTTGGTCTACGATTTTGGGCTCCATCTGTTACGGTGTTCACTCAGGACAGGAGAGGTGGTGTGTTGCACAGAGTAACTGGGCACTATTGACTCATTGACTGTTTCTAAATATCAATCACCACAGGGGATAACAACTCATAGTTACAGAACATGTGATAGTTACATACTTTGAGAAAACTCATGACAAGAAGTGTACAATTACATTAAGAAAGTAGTATTGTCAGGTTTTTCTGTGTTTAATATTTTAAGTTTCTCATAATGCCAATACTTTTCAGGGATTTTCAAAGCCAAACAGTAGTCTTTGGTAAATACTAAAAAGTGTGAATTTGCAAAGTTAAAAGGTAGCTGTAAAAATTACGAAAAATGGTAACAAAGTACATTGCTCTAGAATGTTGTATAATCCTGTTTCCCTTAAGTATAGGGATGGATGATCATATTGCATTCATCTGCTCATAAAAGAGGAACTCCAGATGTGTCTTCTCTCTAAAAATCCCTCTGCTCATGTGCCAAGAGCTCTGTCTCTGTGTTAACTCTCCCTTTTGTGGCACACCTGAACTGGGCACCTTTATGTTTATACCATCGTTCCTCCCCCACTCAACTCAGTGGAGCCCAAGATCACTTATCCCTCCTCCTTGCCTTCTTCCCTCCTCTCCTCCCCTTCTAGAGACTTAGAGAAACAACTTGCTCTTTAGATACTAACTAATTTTGTTGTCATCCAGGGTGATGTGTGTGCACGTGCACACATGTGTGTCTGTAGTGAAAGACTACAAGAACACTTTTAGTGATCAGAACAGTATTTCCGAGTGACCAACTGATCATTCACTTTATGTAAGCCTCTCATATATTTTATGCCACTTTTCTTTACTCTTAAGTCAGCACTTTTCTCTCCTAGTCTTAGCATCTTCCCAACAGCTGAAATATTTTCACCATTATAAAAGCACACAGGAATCTTCTTCCAGTTAGTCATGATTACCCCTTTATTTACTGCTTGCCAAGGTCCTCTACAAAGACATTTGGAAGATGGACTGCTAAATTTGTGCCATGTCATCACTTTCCTTTATACCATGATCAAAGGACAAGTTAAATTACCGTAAAATGTGAATGAAATGTTAAAAAAAATCTTTTTAAAAACAACAAAATGAAACCCTAAAGCAGAATCCTACTGAGACAACTTCAACTTTTTTGATCACTGCTATTTAATTTGTACAGTTAGAAACATATCAAAAAAAAGCTGTTTAATTGGGAAACAGATTCAAACTTCGTGACTGTGATATTATTTCAGCTCTAAAGGATTTATCTGTCAACTACTGAAGTAGTCAGCTGCTTTTACAAAACTCCTGTGTCTCATGTTTGAAAACTCTTCAGGCAAGAGGACTACTGGATGATAAGCCAAAACAGACACCACAGTCATTCCTAAGCCTTTGAGCTTGGCCAACTGTTTCCTAAGAAAGTTCTCCCCCCTCCTTAAGCCAATTTTAAAAGGTTCCCCTTTTCCCATCTTTACAGTTAAGATTTTAGCCCAGAAACAAGGAGGATGACTACCTAACTTTCTCTAGGAGAAAAAAGAAACCCTAAAATATATTACTGGAATTACAGTGGTACTACCATTTAAAGTTTCAGTTCCTTACTTCTAAAAACTTTAACTCTACAAATTTATTTTTTGAGAGTCTCCTGTCAGAAAAAGGTAGCAACTGTAGCCAATTTTAAATTGTGTATGAATGTATCCAAAAGAAAAAAAAAAAAACAAACAACAAACAGGTATCACATTAACTTGGTGACTATCAGATGTTTAAATTGTTCAATTTCTAACTACTTTTTTCTTCCCCATAAACATAATTCTTGAACTACCATCTATTTTGCAACAAACCACTAACACTGATGAAAGTTTACATCATAGGACAGAGAAATAACACTCAGTCTCATTGGACAGATACAGATGGAATAATTTTTTTTAAGAGAACTGGAAAAATTCTCATCAAGAAGTCTTTTCCTTTGGCCTTAATTTACAAGTAGCATTTGTCCTTTAGGAAACACATCAACTACACATAGGGGCTAACAAATCACATGAGTAAATAAAATGGAAATGAGCTGTGGAACGTCAAATAATTAGTAATTATCCCTAAAAGTTTTTGCATGACTTAAACGTTTCTTTTACCTTGATGCTTACTTGCTATGTGCATTCAAAGCTCCCAACTTAATTTCTAGCCAATACACCTCAAATTAGTCTTTGCAAAAATTAAAGAAAGGTCCTATAAAAGGCAACCATCATTACCTGACCAATTTACCAATAATAGATAAAAAGAGGACAACAGTGCAAGGTATAATTCTTGCCTCTTCTGGTCAACACCAGGAAAAAAAAACAAAACAGGTTGTCTTATAGGTGGTATACATTAAAAACAGTGTATACAAGCATGGAAGAAGTCCAGCACCGATCTGTATTAAAGAAGTTCTCCTTAGATGTTTTTAACAAGGTGTTGCAATGTATGTTT